TATCATAAGGCTTTGGAGCAATGTAGGCACCACAATCAGTGAAAGCCTTTATCCTTTTATGCTCACTATCCACAAAATCAAAGACAGACATAAATGAGTCAAACATTTTAAGTATTTCCACCATCTCATTAGAGTTACAATTAATTAAGGAATCCTGAACCTTCTTTTTTAATGTACTCATACCTTCAGAAATAAATTTCTTGTGACCATCAATAATAGTTTGAACAAAGGAACGAGTCACAGAGTCATGTTGATAAAGACCAGCAACATATATGAGTGCAGATTTAGTAAGCTGAGCTTGAAATTTCTCTACAGTTAAAGCAGTACTGAACACATCAGGAGAGGTATCTTGACTTTCAGGAATAAAGAATGGAACTCTAGCATCATCATCATTTGTGACAGTACTGGATTGGGAACTAGTAGCAGCAGTGACAGAGGGATTACAAACAGAACTAGATTGAGTAGCCTGTACTACTTTGTGCTTATTATCTAGATGGTCTTTAAATGTTAGTCTAGAAGAAAAAACACGAATGCAGTTACTTTGCCTGCACTCAAAGGCATCTAAAGCAGGATGGAAAACTTTGAGATGGCTTATCAATAAGTCAGAAGTTTCACACTTACTACTACACACACAACAGTTAAACATTTTGGTGGGTTATAATTTCAGTTGCAGGCATCAAGTGATGTTATAAACGTGGTGACAGCAGTAATGTTGGATTTCTTAGCGATCTTGATGTCAAAAAAGTACCTTTGTACAAACTGCCAGAGGTGTTCACTCTCTGATGGTGGGTCACAATGAAGAGCAAAAAATGTCTTGAAACACAAGTCTACAGCCTCCTTTATAGACTTAACTTTGTACAAGTGAGAGTCCAAACACACATAGATGGATGTGAAACTGGGTCGTTCACCAACAACAGAAATAAAAGGTTGGAGAGCGCCACCAACTTTGGCCATCCGTTCCCTCAGTTGACATATTTTGGTGTTTAAGTCACCAGCAGCCTGTAACAACAAAAACAAGTAAATAAACATGACTAGAATATTAAGGGGACCATACTCTACAATATGATGAAAAAATAATCTTGGTAGTTAAAGTGAGGTTTTAAATACAAGACAGGTGTCACCCAAGTTAAGTTGATACTCAACAAAACCATGAGAAAAACTGAAATTATTACTCAGTGACAGTTGATATTTTAAAATATTATTTTGCAAAGGTAAAGACTTCATAGGCTAACTAGAATAATGTCATCTTCCAACTCTGTTTTAAATAATACAAAACTACCCTGAAATTTACGGATCACTAACACCATTCATTCTTGAGTTATCATGCATACAAACAGAATGAAAGTTTTTGGGTCAGTGGAGTAATTGGGTTCACTCTTGTTCAACTAAAACTATGAAGTCTATTTTTTTACGGATAGATCAGTTAAGAATTGCAAATTATTTCAATGAGTAGACTCACATTAACTCGAACGATGAAAGCAGACCGAACTTCAACAACACTCGGTTTGTGCTTTGAGGAATTCACACCCTCACCAATAACAACGAATCTATTTGCACTGAGAATTGATGGTAGGAGCTCAAGGAGCAGCGTCTCGAGTTCAAAATCTAAAAAGAAAACAAAAAGTTACAAAGTGGGTCTAGAGGAGAAAATGAAATAAAAAAGGGAGGAGTGATTCATAACATACCATTAATATCTTTTCTTTTGAGAAGGGACAAAATCTCCTTGCCCTCGGAATCTTGCTTGCTAGTAATTTTCCTTTTTGAAACAATGACTTTAAACCTCTTAATGAAATTGTCCCATTTGAGTAGTAGCTTATCTGCTTTGTCTTTTCCAACAGTGGATAGTTCAAAGTCAATATCAATCTGCAACAAATAAAAATAAGTCCAGTGAAAAAAGTACACAATCAGACACAATTACAGTGAGTAATCATAATTGCATTACCAGTTTGGGACCATTGTCAGGGTGCTTGAGGTGGGGCCACAAAGCCAAATATTCAGCCACCTTGTCACAGTTGTCATGGCCCTTTAGCCAGTGAAGGCGGTGTGGAGCAGCTCCAATCCAATGCCTGTTGACCTCCTCTAATGGCTCCTGCCACTTAGACAAGAAATCAACAGAGATGGCTGCTTCCTCACTCAAAGCTAAATCACCTAAAAAAAAAAAAACCAATTTATTTTAAAGAATACCCAGTGCAAAAAATAATATGGACTCACTAAAATAGGAGACTTACTAATAGTACTAAGATCTGGAGTGTCACTCTGCTTCTTCGAGCCACGTCCAGTACACAGCCCATATCGAGCCTTTTTGGAACGGAACTTATCAAATAGTTTCCCTCTAGCCAGTTTCTGGTGAGAGCCAGATTTGAGTGGTGGCTCATAATACACTTCGTCCTAGAACATAATAAAATGCCCAATGTTAAAACAATAACTAAAATTTGCTGCAAAATATAGAAAGTTATAACTTACTGTTTCATTAGGAAAGATGTCAAGAATCTTTTGAGTTAGAGACGCATATTCTTCTTGAGAAGGACTTCACATGGAAAAGAAACAATTGTATTGTAATAATTGATTTACAGATCACAAACTGACCGAGTGCAATATTAAAATAAATAACTTACGATATTGTGATGTTCATTAGCTCTGCCACCAAAATGTCAACAAAGTCTGTCCTCGCCTCATCAGAAAGACAGTTGTTTTCTTCATATGTCCTCAAAATCCAACGGCCACATACGCTGCTCTTGAGAACATCTTCCAATTGCTAAGAATAAATATAGAATGAAGTCAAGCATGCAAAATATCCAAAGGTAAATTAAAAAAATTAAGATTAAACTTACAATGTCATTGACGTTTGACAAACTGGTGACAAGAATTGTCACTTTCTCCACATAGGAGTCAACATCAACTTGTTGCCTTTTAGATATGTGACCGGCGGGCTCGTCATTACTTGATCTTCTCTTATGGGTAGGCACCGAAACCTGGGTAGGAGCGGGGGTCGTAGGACTCGTCGACTCCACCCATGATGTATCCTGTGAAGATAAAAGCAAATCAAAGTCAACTCTGCAATACATTGGCACCGACCGGCAACCTAACCTATAACCTAACGAGCACCGCGCCGCCGCACCCACAGGGCTTTTCAGAATTGGTTCGATTCAGTACGTGCATGATCGGCACAACTAATGCGCGCGTAACTCAGAATCAAGTACGGCAAGAAACTGCCTAGAACACCAGTAATTATTATCATATTACCTGTAAAGAGACTGACGACAGTGCTGAGCCGGGTCGTGAGTTGCACTCGGAGGAGGTTGAGGTGGAGGGCACTGCCGGATCGACTGCAGTCAAAGTGCTTTTAAAAGCATTTCGTTTACTGACAAATCTCCATCGCAAGTTGATATCCGGGATCAATTTTTCCAAAAAATCCCCAGACACCCCCAGCAATGTTGTGAAATCGACACCTACCAGAATAAAAGACAAACTTGTTAACCTCTCGACAGTAAAACGGTCACGCGATGCACAAACAGTACGAAAATCTTAGAAAGAAATTAATACTTTTCCCCACTTACCAGAAAATGGCTCGAGAAGCTCGGGCAAGTCCCACTCTCTAAGCAGCGCAGAAACAACCATACCATACGGAAATTTCACCAAGTTCAAAGGAGTAAGCTGGCCTATTCGACGCACGTCTTGGCAGCACGCGGATTCCAAAACGAAGTGGCGAGTGGCGAGTGGCGAGCTCGCTCCACGCCCACGACCGTCCCGTAGAGTTTTCTTGGTGTGGCCGTAGGGTGCGCTAGCGTCAACCGTACCGTATGCTTGTCCGAAGCATGGGGTATGCGCGCTGTTGTAGACGTCCATTATGCGAGTATCTCGCATCGAATGGCCAATTCGCACGAGACTACGGCAGCGCCAGCACGCATTGGGCCAGTGGCTAAACCAAGCATCATTTTATGCTTGGGACAAGTAAACTTTTTTCTGGGTGCAACAGGCAGTCGGCGTTTTGGGAAAAGCTTTTACGGGGGTTACGTTGTCTCCTGCTTTCGACCCTCTCCCAGTTTTTGCTGTTAACATTTTGTGCAGCCAAATATTTAAAAATTTTAGTTCAATTGATTGCGTACTGTAAATTTTTTTCTAGGAGATCGGATGTTGGAGAATTCGCGCAAAACGCAGACAAGTTTTTTTTCCTTTTTTTTTGTTGTGAAATATGTTTATTGCCCAAAATCCGAAAATGTTTTTATTGTGCAGCACTTATAATTATAATAAATCGCAGAAAAAAAGTAAAAAATTACCACACGTTTGTTAGACGAAGAGTTTTCGGTAATGTGTGTTGTGTATGTAGTGAGGGGAGGAGAGGCACTCTGACCGCAGCACTATGCACTGATTGTGTTTTGATCCCTGGCCGGCTGCTGCTGGTGCTACCGCCGGCGCGCCGCTTGTGGCGACCGCAGTCAATATTTAGGTGTAATGGCTGCCACGCCGAGCGTGTCGGACTCCACCTGCGGCAGCCCGCCGGGACTGCCGGCCGCAGCCGCTCCTGAACCGAATGTAACATCTCCGGCTAATGATCGCACCGGAGGCAGATCCGCGTTGTACAGTGGTACAGTGTTCAAAATGTGTTGTGGTGTCCCAACACTTGCTCGATACCGAGCAGCTATGAAACCGTGAACAGTTGTGGCAAATTTTTTCTCTCCGTATCGAATTATTTATGAAGTTGCTAGTTTTCAAACTAGTTTACCAGCCAAAGACTCTCTCTTCGTGCCATTTTTAACCTGATTTTTGTGGCAGGTCCCTTGTAGACCTGTTAGTCCTTTTTTCCGAACCTATACTTTTACGTTCAAATTCGATTTTTTGTTCCGCGGTTATGTTGTGTCTTTTCCTTTTTATCTCGCTCGCGCGGTGCAGCTGTGCGCTGGTGTGCGGCGGGTGCGCCTGCCTGTGCGCCTGCCTGTGCGCCTGCCTGTGCGCCTGCCTGTGCGCCTGCCTGTGCGCCTGCCTGTGCGCCTGCCTGTGCGCCTGCCTGTGCGCCTGCC